ACATTTCCATTTTTGGAGTTAGAGAAGGATCTACAAGGCCAATAAAAAGTTGTGGGACTAGGTGTCTTGCACTATACCATGATATTTATTACTAAATTAGGTTTTAACTTTTATGCCAAAAAACTGGTTTATTTATATGTAGTTAAATTAACATTCCATTTGGTCAATAATAAATTATGTATATGATGATTAATTGAATTTTTTTATTTCAAGGTCTCTTTTGTAAAGACAAAAAAATTAGACCAATTTCGAAGTTAAAACAAGTATCAAGTCAAATTCAGTTTTAAAATTAAACAAGCATCAAATTGGTCTCAATTTTGAATCAATTTCAAAACTAAAACAAGATCAAGTTGGCCAATATATATATAGTATGTATAATCAATCAAAAAAAAAAAATAAAAAATAAAAAACAAATATGTAAAATGTAAAACAAACAAATTTTACAAACCATTAATTTTTTTTTTTTACTTTTAGCTAATCTGAATTTAAAATTTATTTGAAAAAAAAAAAAATGTCTAAAAAAATTCAATGCTTCCACTTTTCTGAATATACCCCTGAAGACCTAAATGAATCAAATCTTTGCAAAGAACATTATTTCATATTTGACACTTACCAAAATAGAAGTGAAATTAACCAAAACTTGTCAAATGCCCCATCTTCTTCCATTCAATTAGCTCCAAGCAACCAAAATGAAATTGATTTCTCACCTGTTATGACTCCCACAACCTTTCAAAGTAGTAATAATTCATCTACCTTGCCATCAAGAAATCACTTCTGGAATCCCACTCATGAGCTTTATAACCTTTTGAATGAGTTTAATAACAAAATTTTACTTGATTATCCAAAAGTTCCATGTGCTTATTGTTCAATTCTATTAATGGAAAATTCCACTAAATGGTCACCATACAATGAAGATGAAAGATATCCACTAACAAGAACATTCCCACAAGTCAAATTATGTGTAAGAACAAATAGGAAAGGTATCAATCTGCTCATCATGTGCTAGACCAAGCTCATGAAGGATGCCACCAGTTTTAAGTCCAATACCTCCTGAACTTGAATATGTTCCAATGTTGCATTGTAAATATTTGTCTCCAATCTATTTGGGTTGTTCTTTAGGACATGAACCAGGATCAAACAAATATGCAAATTACCCACATATGCAAGGATTTTTCAGTCTTTCAAGAAGCAGGCATTTTTTGGAGTTTCTTAATACTCAAGAACCTTGATACCTGCAATTGGGTGGCTTAAAGAAAACAATGCCCTCTATGAAGATCTGAGTGATTCTCACATCATTGAACAACCTCTGCCTACAAGCCAAACACCAGTTCCTCTTCCATTAGCAACTCAATCAATGAGCACTTTTGAATCTTCTAACAATGTATATCATTCAATTCTTCCTGATGACACACAGCACACCCACCAGATCTAGTGGTGCCAAATGATGCTTTTCCACCAGAAACTCACAATGAAGATGCATCCTACAACCATTTGATAGCTGGAACACTGAAGCTTAAAGACCAACCTGATGCACTGATTTCCTTTAATAATAAAAATTTGGAAGCATACATTTTTCCAGATTTATTCCCTACTGGACAAGGGCATTATGAAGATATTAGAAAGCTGTTAAATTTTAAACCACAAACTGATAGTTATGGAAAGTATATAAAACTGAGGATACTCTGCCCAGATCCTAGATTTTGATTGCATTGGTATTGGCCCCATTGGTCATACCTGAACCTTGAGAAACAAAGGAACTTTCAAAACACACATTGTATTCTCCTCCTGAAATATCAGTAATGACTTCCATCCAACCCAAGCTGACTTGATTGCAAAAAGTGCTTATACAAATAGACCAATAATTGATGAGACCAAGACAACCTCAATGCCATCATCGCTACATACAGCAGCACCTTATTTCAAAAAAAGGCAGCAGCATGTCAATACAATGTTAGGTTCATATGGTCTTCCCCAAATCTTTTATACTTTAACAATGGCAGAGGACAAATGGTCACATTTACATGAGATACTGAGAGAAACAGATAATGGTGATACAATGCCAAGCAATCATCCATTTCATGCTTATATGCATTACCACAATTGTCTAAAAAACCCAAGGAATAAATTATGGAAAAATTCAAAATTGGTAAAATGGGGCAAATGGGAGCACTATTTTGAACATGATGAGTTCCAGAATCGTGGCACTATTCATACACATGGCTTTGCATATGTAGAGAAATCCATAACAGAGTTGATTTCACTTAATACAATACATGCTGATGTGCCTGATCCTACAAATGAACCAATTTTATATGATTTGGTCACAAAATATTAGATTCATCATTGTAGCCCCAACAAGTGTGGAGGTTATGGTATGGGAACACAACTGTGCAGAAAAGGTTTTCCACAGCCTCTATCTACACTACTTACTGCTCCCCCAATTCTTTGAGGTATATCTACCACAGAACAAAGAATGAGGATCAATGGGTAGTTCCTTACCACCCAGAGACACTCTTGATCTGGAATGGTCACACAAACTTTCAGTATATTACAACAACAGGTTTTGCAAAATATGTGACAAAGCCTGAAGCTTCTGAGTTATTTGATATTGATGAATCTGATGAATACAGAAAGCATGTTTTGGCTCAACGTTTGGGGACCATGGAATTAATGGTTTTATTATTGCAATACCCTTTGACAAGATGTTCAGTGTCTGTACAATATTTCCCATCAGCACCTTCAGAACTCAGAACTTGATCCATCAAACAGGGCTGGCTGCGTAACTCAAATGAGCACTTGGCTAAACTGACTAAACTATTTAGTCATATGTTAAGTCAAGTCAAGATGATTGTTACTAAATTAGGTTATTAACCCCTTTACGCTGCCAGCCCTGCCATCAAACCCATACATTTACTAAATACCAACCACAATGACAGTGATGAAGATGATGATGATGACTACAACAGATCACCTTTCTGGGATGATGCAATTGATAAATACTATGACAGACCAGTATTGGACAGATTTGAAAATATGACATATCCCAATTATTTTTGTGATTACACAATTAAAACAAAATCCCCTGACCCCAATTCAAAAATGTTTTGGACACATGACAAAAAGAACCATGCTATAGTCAAACACAAAAATCCAATTCTCCTTGTTTTGCTAATTATAAAGTTGAGGATGCTGAACCCTTTTTCTTCCAACATCTGATTATGAAGATACCTGCTCGATCTGACCAACAATTACTAGATGGGTATTCAACTTACAAGGAATGTTTTCAAGCCAAGTTTCCTTTGCAATATGAAAATGCAATCAGATCATTACATTTTAGTTTCATCACAGAAAAACAACAATTATCAGAAGCATATAGAACAATTTTAAATTTAATTAAAAATGAAATTTCCAGTGAAAATTTATCAGACCTGGTATATAGTCAATTGCTCAGTCTTGAAAAAAATGTCCCTTGGTCTTCATTAATGTTTGAACCAGAACAATACCAGATTTACAGTATATGGGGAAAATTATCAAATGGGAAGTATCCATATTTTTTCTTAACAGGACCTGCAGGCACAGGAAAAACACCAAAGAAAACAAATTATTTATTAATAGCCCCAACTGGGGTTGCTGCTCAGAACATAGGAGGTAGAACAATCCATTCTGCATTGAGGATAAGGTTCTGGGAGGGAAGATATGAAACCCTTTCTACCAGTGACAATGAAAGTAGATCTGAATTATCAAAAATTGAAGCTATTATTATTGAGGAAATTTCAATGGTTGACTCTGAAATGTTCACATTCATTAGCAAAACTTTTGCAAACATTCATGGCAATAGCTTAATTTTTGGAGGAATTCCTGTTTTGGTTGTTGGTGATTTAGCACAATTGCCACCAATTAGACCTGATTATGTTTTTGAATCACCAGCATGGAAAAGGTTTTTTTTCCCTTTATTTCTAACAAGACCAAAGTGTCAGCAGAATGATCTGAATTTTTATGACCTGCTCCAAGAAGTACATATTGGCCGATTATCAGAAAAAGTAAAATTTTAATTCAAAATAAAATAGATAATTCAAAATTTATTAAGAACTTTTATAAGACCACTCATGTTGTTGGTCTTCACAATACTGCTGAGAATATCAATACATTGCTCTGTAGTAACCTACCATTTGATGATACTTCTAATGGCCCAATTGTTTCTACAGCAATTGATATATTAAATTCCAATATACTTGATTACAATCACAATATAAATGAATTTCAACACTACAAATTTCCCAAAGAAAATCTATCTTCAGGAAGGAGCAAGAGTGATGTTCTTAAATAATAGATTATATGAGTATGGTATTTGTAATGGATCAATTGGTGTTGTGACAAAAATAATCAATTGTGAAAATGTAGAAGTGGCTTTCCCAACAAATGCAAGTATTGTAAAAATGACTGTACAAAAGGAGTAACTCATTTTGAAATTAATGGTAATCGTGCTTCACACCAACAATTTCCTCTCCAAAATGCATTTGCCTTGACTGTGCACAAAACACAAGGATTAACTCTACCTCATGTTACTATCAACGTAGATGAAACAATGTTTGCAGAGGGTCAAGTTTATGTGGCAATGAGTAGAGCACCTTCATGGGAAATGACAGATATATTATCCTTTGATTTCCTCCACCGATCTCTATGTATGACACTCTCATTTATTTGCAGATCGTCAATTAAAGCTTATTGATAATCAAGCACATTTAGAAACATTAAATTTTTTAAAAATGCAGTATGAAATTATCAAAGAGCAACGAAGGCAATCTACCAGCTCATTTCATCCAAGTAGTGCATTATTCCCATCAGGAAATAATTCCAGAATATTTGATGATTTATTTAATGATTTATTGCAATATGAAGAGGAGGAGGTACAAGGTGAATACAAAAAATATTTTTCTTTACCAACTGCAAATTGGCAAACAGATCCATTTATTTGGTGGAATAGTAAAAAAACGAGTTTCCTATAATGTCAAATTTAGCAAAAAAGTACTTATGCATAAATGCAACATCTGTACCATCAGAATGACTTTTTTCTGATGTGGGAAATCTTATAATTCCAAGCAGAAATAAATTATCACCTAATATTGTTTCAAAAATTGGTTTTCTGAAACAAAATTCATCAATTTTATCATAATTAAAAAAAACTTTTTTTAGTGATAGTCATAAATATTATTATTATTTATTAAATAAAATTTTAATTATACGTTTTATTGGAGTGTTACATATCAGCATAAACGCAAACATAGTTGAGCACACATATAAAAAATCATATGGGGCATGGACTATAGAAAAGGGGATAGCTGCAAAATCACGATTTTGAGAAAATCGAAAAAAAGATCTGCATTTCAAGTAATTTACTATTGTTTTTAAAAAATTAAATGGAAAATATCTCGAAATTTTATTAAGTAAAGTGGGTATGGTTTCTAAGCTAAAATTAATCCTTGTAGCAAATTACGCATAGAAGTGGCATTAACTCAAAATCACGATTTTGGTAGTTATCCCCTTTTCTATAGTCCATGCCCATATATGCGGATTTTTTTTGGTGATCAATAGATGTAAAAATTTTAATATAAAAAATAAACAAAATTCAAACTCTATCTCCTCCCTATTTATCAAATAGACCTCCATTAAAAATTAGTATATAGGTACTAAATTATGAATAATTCAACATAATGGCTTTATTTTTTTAATTTTTTGTTTATAAAAAAAAGTTATATGCAAAAAAAAGTTTTAAACAAAAATAAAAATTTTTTTTAATAAAATTTTTAAAAATCCACAGCCATTAAGTGAAAGTGTAAGTTTCAAGCTTTTATTTGGTACTAATTTTATAACTGTAGGAGAAGAATTGGTGGACTAGATAGATTTTAAAAATTTTCGTAGAGATTTATTAGATTATATATTAAATCCGTTTTAAGAAAGATCATCATGTTGAACATGTACAGTCAGACCTCCATAAGTGCACCCCCCTTGGGACCGAGGGACACCGTGCATTTATGGAGGGTGTGCATTTATAGAGAGAAGCAATTTCATTGGTTGCACGTGTTACATATTTAAAAATTTAATTAATATTAAAATAACTATCCATTGTAGTTTGTTTCAATGAATTTACTCTTTTTACATTGATATATCTTTTGATTTTATTAACCAATTTTATTTGTTCACTAGCATTTTCTTGCTGTAATAAAAATGCATGTACAGTTTCAAGACTTTTTAATGCTTCCTCATGGCTTATTGTTGGTTGTTCATTGCTATCATCATCTTCATCAAAATCATCATCAGGTATATTCATATTATTTTTATATATTTCTGCAAGTTCTTCAATAATTTTATTGTCCTCTGGAACCTCATAGACAATATTTTCTTCAGGGATATTCAAAAATTCATCAACTTGCATTTTATCAAATAGGTTAAGGGTGGCGAGTATTTCCAAAAGTTCATTCAATGTTGAGTCATCTGTTGTTCTAAATATTATCAGACATATTTGATAATTCTGCATTAATACCAGCTGGAAGGATGTTGGTGTGTCTCCAACAGTTACAAAGAGTTTCAGGTGTGATTTCTTCCCAACTTTTTATTACGAATCTTATTGCCTGCAATATATTCATTTTTAAATCTTCTATTTTCTCACCTTTTTCAATTTCATCTAGCAACCATCTTTAAAAAATATCATGTAAATACTCAAAAATTAATACAATAATCATAAGACAAAAAATAAGTACATACTTGACATGATGACGTCTATAATGCCTTTTAAATGACATAATTATTCCTGCATCCATTGGTTGGAGTTTTGAAGTGGTATTTGGAGGTAGGA